TTTAAGGTTTAGCACAGCTTGTTTGACAAACCACATCTTATCCTTATTTGACTGTTTATCTGCAGGTTTTTTTTCATCAGGCAACACTGATGCTGGCCCTTTTGGGGTCACCAGTAAATAAACAGTTTCATGCCTTTTGAAGTTTCTTAAGCCATCATTCTTTTCCAGATAGAATTCCACACTGCGGTGGCACAATCTGCACCAGTTCTGCACTCAGGCTCTCTCCAGCAGCGGCATGTTCGTACAGTACCTAGCACAATGGGGCCCTGATCTCTTCTGGGGCTACTGGAGTACAAATACACAAACAGTACATTAAAAGAGCATCTATATGGTTCCAAAGTGTAGAACTCAAAAGATAGGAAGTGCCGGAATTAAGGTTACCTGTGCAACTTTAATGTGACCACCTTGTTGTGCATTATGATACTCTTTAATTACATGATCACATACTGTCCTCCTTTTCTTTTTGCGGATACAGACTAACATGACTGCTACTCTGAAACCTGTTTTTCCCAGTATCCCCCTTGCCTCATTCAGTGCATAGGATGGAAGATGCTCGCTTTGGCCATATCTGCACAAACACTTACCATGCAGCATGCTGGAGTTTGAATGTACGGTGCTCCTGCATGCTGTCCGTGTAGACCCTGCTGCTGTGCACTAAAAGTTCCTAAATGTGCATTGACAGTAGAGAATTTTAGTGCACAGCAGCAGGGTCCACACAGACAGATAGTGAGCAGCATGCTGGAGTGCTGTAAACGTACTCCCCTGTTTCCTGTGCTGTTGATGTAAACATGCCCTTCAGTAGTGTTTCCTCATTGTTCACTGTGTGTGTGGCCCCATGCTGTATTAACTGCACATTGTCCAAACAGTGATCTGAAGACAGAATTTATTAATTCCTCATTGTTTTGTCTGTGGCACATGTCACTATAGAATCTGAGTGTTTCACAAACATTCATTTATTTTCACACACCCAAGTGAGGAAACAAATCAGCTTCAGGTTAATCTAAAATCAAAATTTTTTTTTCACTCCCAACAATAAAACCCAATGAGACACATTGTCCCAGTTTTAAGGGGAAATGGCTGTAAACACCAGACTCCTTTAATCTGTAGAACTACCATATGTATGGAGGCTAGAACTCACTACTTGGTCTGTATTTTGGATATGACTAGAGTCAAATCTTCCCTATTGTGGAAACTACACAAGTCCTGCCCCTCCTTTTTCAGCCAAAACTACTAGCTGACACATTTTAGATCTCTAAGCATGGTTCATGCATATCAGTACTTAGCCTGCTGTCTACAATAAGGCCCTGATCCTGCAATTAGCATCACGTGAGTGCAGGCTGCATTAAAGTTATTGCAGGCTTTGGTCCTAAAACAGCCATTGAGTGCAACAAGGGCATGTTGTCCCCAGCTGTTGGCCTTAAGAAAGAACTATGCCAAAAATTAGCCCCAACAATTTATGAAGCAAGTTTTTGATCCAGCCATTGAAAGCAGGATTTGGACAATAGATCTCAAATACAGGTTACGTATTGAGTGTGCTTTATGTGATTGTCTTAAGGAGGCAAAATAAATAGTTGTTGCATTATTTGTTGCAGTACCATTGCTTGGGCCAGATGCTTCTTGTCTAGTCCAAGCCAATAAAATATATAGCCTGGCTATTGATTAGCAAACTATCTTCAGTTTTTCAAGAGTGTTATAAACCACTCAGGGTGGGACTGTGGTCTTTGTTCAATGCCAACTCACCAAGCCTTTAATATTTTGAGAAAGTGACTTTTGCTTATGGTGGAAAGTCATGAAATTGCACTGGCGAAACCAGGCAAAAAGTTAGAGCCTGTTGCTTTAACTTCGGACAAAATAGTCTCCTATTTTACAGCCTCCTGCGTCTGTTTGAGCCCGGTCCCGTAAATACTGAGCGAGTACGGTCACTTCTTCAACTTGCCAAGGAGAGAGTTAGTTTTTGGAGCAGACGGTCACAAGTTCTATTCTTGATGCTGCATGTAGGCAGTTGGCCGCTGACCAAGGTGTCTATATGTGTAAAGCGGCCACTGATGTAACAAGAGGTCAGGAATGACCAAGCCTTATAGCTTTCAGCTGTTTGGGCTCAGCTCTTAGTGGACAAAGACATACATAGTTTAAAAACTAACCCGCAGCAAATTTTATCACTGATCGTTGGCCCTCCATTGAGAGAGACCAGTAAGGGCCACAGACTGCACGGACTGTTGAGAGACTAAGCAACTCCTGTGGCCCCTAGAGCTGGTTGTTGGAAGTTGGTGGTGAGTGAGTGTGGGGAAGTTCCCTATCCTGCTGATCCCTGGCACTTGCTTGGAATTTGGGCTAAAAGCAGTCTTGGGACTCCTCCCGAGAGCGTGCTAACAATCGGTGTAGCGGGGTGATGCCAAGCCCTGCCATATACAATAATCTGCTGCATTCTAATGACAAACTTCCTTGTTCTTCAGTAGTATCTTTATGAGGCAGTGATGCATCATCCTGGAATGGATGCCCCTTATAGACATAAACAGTAACTCACTGCACCCTTAAATATGGAGTAACTTATTACTCCACAGGACTCACTAATACACGATACTGTTCCAACACTTTATACCATCTCCTTTGCTTTTGTTTTCTTCTTTTCTTCTTCCCATCCTGTACACTGTCTCCTGTTATATGCTACATGCTGTTAGTGTCTCTCTCTTCTCCGGCATCTACTTCCTGCATTCATTCTGTTTCTCCCCATGTTTTCATTCATATTCTCGTTCCTGCTTTCTTCCTCTTTCTAATCAGTGTTTCATCCTCATCAGTCCTCTCTATTACCTAGTGTCCATCCATCACGCTCCCTCTGCCCCCCAAAAATCCATATCCCTTACGTTCGCCTTTAGGATATTGAAGACATTATTCTTTTCTGTCACCAGCCTAGCTGGTTTTCTGGCCCAGTCACTAACTGCTCAAGACACAGTGTGCCAACCTTCCACCTTCACACGCAGAGGAAGGGAGCTGGGTATGTTGCATTCAGCACATGTGGTGGCCGCAACTCGGGAAGAACACCACTTCGTTTTATATTTTTATGCAACTCCATTGACTTCTTTTCTGCCTTAACCACCGCATAGGATCAGGCAAGTCTGCCATGGTCACTAACTTTCTCTTTAAGAATATGGGTTTCCTATTCAGGTAGATCTGACACAGCTAGAAGAAAAAATTTTTACAGCCTCTGGAATATATATTAGTTTTTGCATTGCAGTCATTCCTACCACACCACTTGTTAGAACTGCTCAGCATTTATCAGCCACTAGTTATACATTTTGACTTTCTTCTCTGACAGGCTGCATTGCTTTGACACAGTCCTCTTGAATACAGCAGGGATCAGTGCAGCAATTTAGTTTTATTGCTTATGGAGGTGACTGCAGGATTGTAATGTCAGAATACTGCTAAATCCTAGGGGATTTCTTGGCATTTTGCTGCCACAATATGGTCATAATTGTCATAATGGCTTAGTACAACCACAAAATGTCCTTGCACTTATTTATGTAGCTTGAAAAATGTAATGCAACAATAAAATATTGCATTTATTTATCTGAGGCTTGACTCTTCTTACACCACTTTTACCCTCTGCTGAATGGTTTAAATAGATAGCTTGATATTTTAGATTTGTAATGGGGTTAGGAAGCTGAGTCATGTGCTGTAGGGTTGGTCACATTTTTGAGGCCTTAAATACCATCCTACTCTGGGCCTGTTCATCAGCTGCCCTCACTAACCTGGAGTTACTACAGTCGGTTATGTAAATCCATAGTTATAAAGCATTTCTGTTCCACTGTGGAGCTACTGTTGTATTGTTAATAGATGTGTGTGGCAGATGGCCTGAAAACAAGGTACTGAGCATGTGCAAGCAGTCCACCGCTGGGTTTGTTTTATAAATATTAAAAAAAACTCAGCCAGTCTATGCTATTGAGCATTTGCAAATTAGTATTTACAGAACCTTGAGCTGCTATTGAATTACAGGAAAACAAGCATTTGACACACAAAGAAGCTTGCATTCTTTTGCAGTGTGAATTTAAAAAAACTTTCCTTGCTTGAAGCTTCAGGGGATCCACTTTTTGTCCCTGCCAGTAACTGGGAGTTTCACATGAATGAAAGGAACGTATTTTTCTGTAGGCAAAGTTAGCCTGGAGCAAGTTTTTATGCCCAGGCTTATGAACTCCCAGGAATAGGTTTTTCCAATAGAAACACTCTTAACTGTAGCAGCGTGAAAAGCTTTTTTCTTTCTTTAATGTTTTCCCCCCCTTTCTCCAACCTATAACCTTTGCAACTGTTCCTCTCTAATTTTCTGCAAGAGACCACAGACAACAGCATTTTATAGAAACTAAGTCACTGTAGCAACATGGTTCAGTCAGAGAAGCAGGAGCAGTAGAGGCGACTTGAAGGGTCCTCCACTCCACTGTTTTACCTGTATTTATGGGCTAGATTAAACTGAGTCTTGTGCCTGCAAACACGTGTTACTGGGTGTGGTGCTTACTGTTATGAACAGACACCAACGGAACAACGCACAGTAGTAAATACTCTGGTCGGTAACATTTACAAGATCGCACCCAGTGGCATCAGCACAATAGCTATAGCTGATAGGGTGCTACCTGCAGAGCTCTCCTATTGCCCCTGTGTGTGTATGTGTGTGAAGTCTGTTTGTGTTTCTGCTTCCCTTCCTTTGTCACAGCCGTAATGCTCTTATTTGCAGATAAGATTTTTTTTAAAGGATCTCCAGTTCTTCTTCCCCAAGATCTGTCTTTGAGAATTAACTGCTTTTTCTAGAAATCAAACTGTGAAAGGCCTGGTTTACACTACGAGTTTGTTGGATTTAGCAGCGTTAAATCGAATTAACCCTGCACGCCTCCATGCAACGGAGCCATTTTTTTTGACATAAAGGGCTCGTAAAACCGATTTCTGTACTCCTCCCCAACGAGGGGATTAGCGCTGAAATTGACATCGCTGTTTCGAATTAGGGTTCGTGCGGACGCAATTCGAAGGTATTGGCCTCCGGGAGCTATCCCACAGTGCACCATTGTGACCACTCTGAACTCGGATACGCTGGCCAGGTGTACAGGAAAAGCTCTGGGAACTTTTGAATCTCATTTCCTGTTTGGTCAGGCGAGCTCATCAGCACAGGTGACCATGCAGTCCCAGAATCGAAAAAAAGCTCCAGCATGGACTGAACAGGAGGTACTGGATCTGATCGCTGTATGGGGAGAGGAATCCGTGCTATCAGAACTACGTTCCAAAAGACGAAATGCCAGAATATTTCACAAAATCTCTGAGGCCATGAGGGACAGAGGCTACAGCAGGGATGCAACACAGTGCCGCGTGAAACTTAAGGAGCTCAGACAAACATACCAGAAAACCAAAGAATCAAACGGATGCTCCCGGACAGAGCCCCAGACATGCCGCTTCTACGCTGAGCTGCATGCAATTCTAGGGGGGGCCGCCACCACTACCCCACTACTGTACGTGGACTCCAATGATGGGGTACTCCCCGCCACGCCTGAGGATTTTGTGGACGGGGAAGATGAGGAGGATGAGCTTGAGGAGAGCACACAGCTCACTATTCTCCCCAACAGCCAGGATCTTTTTATCACCCTGACTGAAATACCCTCCCAACCCAATGAAGCCGGAGAAGGGACCTCTGGTGAGTGTACCTTTTTAAATATAATACATGTTATAAAAGCAAGCATTTTTTAATGATTAAGTAGCCCTGAGGACTTAGGGTGCATTCATGGCCAGTATAGCTACTGGAAAAGTCTGTTAACATGTCTGGGGTTGGAACAGGAATCCTCCAGGGACATCTCCATGAAGCTTTCCTGGAGGTACTCTAAAAGCCTTTGCAGAAGGTTTCTGGGCAGAGCAGCCTTATTCTGTCCTCCATGGTAGGACACTTTTACCAAGCCATGCTAGTAGCAAGTAATCTGGTATCATTGCATGACAAAGCTTGGCAGTGTATGGTCCCAGTGTTTGCTGGCATTCAAGCAACATCCGTTCTTTACCTCTCTGTGTTATCCTCAGGAGAGTGATATCGTTCATGGTAACCTGGTTGAAATAGGGGAATTTAATTAAGGGGACATTCAGAGGTGGCCGTTCCTACTGGGCTGTTTGCCTGTGGCTGAAAAGAAATCCTCCCTGCAGTTAGCCACGTGGTGGGAGGGGTGGGGGCCATTGGCGCTGAGCTGTTTGCGTTTGGCTAGCAGGGATCTTCCCTGATACCAGCCACATGGTGGGGTGAGGGGTAAAGCAATCATCCCAGAGCATTGGATGGGGAGGGCTTAGTTTGGTTCCTGCTGCTGCACATTAACAGGAAAACTGCAGCACTAGATGGCCAACTCAACGTGCTTTGTTTGGTATGAGAGAGGAGGGCGCTGCTGTTGTGAAGGTTGCAGAAGCCGAAAGACTATGGCTTATCATGGCCACCTGCAAGCCGAATTCTGTTGCCCGGCACTGTGTGTGTGATCTCTAACACCAAAGCCACAGGCACTCAATATAAGATGCAAAATGTGACCTTGTACCAAAATCACATGTGCTATGTAATGTGAATAGTGTTCACCATGAAAGAGTATAACCATTGTTCTGTAAAATGTATCTTTTTAAATACTTCACTCCCTTTTTTCCCTCCAGCAGCTGCAAATGTTTCAAGCCTCCCTCCTCCATCCCAAAGGCTATCTCAGATAAGGCAGCGAAAAAAAACCGCACATACGATGAAATGTTCTCTGAGCTCATGCAGTCGTCCGGCACTGACAGAGCTCAGCAGAATATGTGGAGGGACACAATATCAGAGTACAGGAAAGTGGCCGACGAACGTGAGGAGAGGTGGCGGCAGGAAGATCAGAGGAGGCATGAGGCAACACTGGGGCTACTGAGGGATCAAACGGACGTGCTCCGGCATCTGGTGGAGGTTCATGAAGGCAGCAGGATCACAGACTGCCACTGCAGCCCCTGTTTAACCGCCCTCCCTCCTCCCCAAGTTCCATAGCCTCCTCACCCAGACACCCAAGAACATGAGGGGGGAGGGTCTGGGCACCCAACCACTCCACCCCAGTGGACAGCCCAAGCAACAGAAGGCTGTCATTCAAGAAGTTTTAAAGTGACCTTTTCCTTCCCTCCTACCCTCCTCCCACACCCAACCTGGTCTACCTTGTGAGTTATTTCCCTATTTTTATAATAAATTAATAAAGAATACATGTTTTTTAAATGATAGTGATTTTATTTCCTTTGCAAGCAAGCTATGATCGAAGGTGGGAGGGCAGGTGGCTTACAGGGAATTTAGAGGCAACCAAGGGGGTGGGTTTTCATCAAGGAGAAACAAACAGAAGTGTCACACAGTACCCTGGCCAGTCATGAAACTGGTTTTCATAGATATTAGATATTTAGGTCAGAAGGGACCATTATGATCATCTAGTCTGACCTCCCGCACAACGCAGGCCACAGAATTTCACCCACCACTCCTGCAAAAACTATTTCTCCCGCACAACGCAGGCCACAGAATTTCACCCACCACTCCTGCAACTCCTCACACCTATGTCTGTGCTATTGAAGTCCTCAAATCGTTGTTTAAAGACTTCAAGGAGCAGAGAATCCTCCAGCAAGTGACCCGTGCTCCATGCTACAGAGGAAGGTGAAAAACTTCCAGAGCCTCTTCCAATCTGCCCTGGAGGAAAATTCCTTCCCGACCCCAAATATGGCTATCAGCTAACCTCTGAGCATATGGGCAAGATTCATCAGCCAGATACTACAGAAAATTTTTTCCTGGGTAACTCGGATCCCACCCCATCTAATATCCCATCACAGGCCATTGGGCCTATTTACCATGAATATTTAATTACCAAAACCATGTTATCCCATCATACCATCTCCTCCATAAACTTATTGAGTTTAATCTTAAAGCCAGATAGATCTTTTGCCCCCACTGCTTCCCTTGGAAGGCTATTCCAAAACTTCACTCCTCTGATGGTTAGAAACCTTCGTCTAATTTCTAGTCTAAATTTCCTGGTGGCCAGTTTATATCCAATTGTTCTTGTGTCCACATTGGTACTGAGCTTAAATAATTCCTCTCCCTCTCCGGTATTTATCCCTCTGATATATTTATAGAGAGCAATCATATCTCCCCTCAACCTTCTTTTAGTTAGGCTAAACAAGCCAAGCTCCTTGAGTCTCCTTTCATAAGACAAGTTTTCCATTCCTCGGATCATCCTAGTAGCCCTTCTCTGTACCTGTTCCAGTTTGAATTCATCCTCCTTAAACATGGGAGACCAGAACTGCACACAGTATTCCAGGTGAGGTCTCACCAGTGCCTTGTATAACGGTACTAAAACCTCCTTATCCCTACTGGAAATACCTCTCTTGATGCATCCCAAGACCGCATTAGCTTTTTTCATTGCCATATCACATTGGCGGCTCATAGTCATCCTATGATCAACCAATACTCCAAGGTCCTTTTCCTCCTCCGTTACTTCTAATTGATGTGTCCCTAGCTTATAACTAAAATTCTTGTTATTAATCTCTCAATGCATAACCTTACACTTCTCACTATTAAATTTCATCCTATTACTATTACTCCAGTTTACAAGGTCATCCAGATCCTCCTGTAGGATATCCCTGTCCTTCTCTAAATTGGCAATACCTCCCAGCTTTGTATCATCCGCAAACTTTATTAGCACACTCCCACTTTTTGTGCCAAGGTCAGTAATAAAAAGATTAAATAAGATCCTTGAGGAACTCCACTGGTAACCTCCCTCAAAGCTTCTCTGATGCGCAGCGCTTCCTGCTGTGCTCTTCTAACTGCCCTGGTGTCTGGCTGTGCGTATTCAGCAGCCAGGCAATTTGCCTCAACCTCCCACCCCGCCATAAATGTCTCCCCCTTACTCTTACAGAGATAGTGGAGCACCCAGCAAGCAGCAATAACAATGGGAATATTGGTTTCCCTGAGGTCTGAGCGAGTCAGTAAACTGCGCCAGCGACCCTTTAAATGTCCAAATGCACACTCTGCCACCATTCTGCACTTGCTCAGCCTATAGTTGAACAGCTCCTTACTACAGTCCAGGATGCCTGCGTACGCCTTCATAAGCCAGGGCATTAAGGGGTAGGCTAGATCCCCAAGGATAATGAAAGGCATTTCAACATCTCCAACATGTCTAGATGGCAGCCGGTGTCAAGTGGAGTGCCCCAGGGGTCGGTCCTGGGGCCGGTTTTGTTCAATATCTTCATAAACGATCTGGAGGATGGTGTGGATTGCACTCTCAGCAAATTTGCGGATGATACTAAACTGGGAGGAGTGGTAGATACGCTGGAGGGCAGGGATAGGATACAGAGGGACCTAGACAAATTGGAGGATTGGGCCAAAAGAAATCTGATGAGGTTCAATAAGGATAAGTGCAGGGTCCTGCACTTAGGACGGAAGAACCCAATGCACAGCTACAGAGTAGGGACCGAATGGCTAGGCAGCAGTTCTGCAGAAAAGGACCTAGGGGTGACAGTGGACGAGAAGCTGGATATGAGCCAGCAGCGTGCCCTTGTTGCCAAGAAGGCCAATGGCATTTTGGGATGTATAAGTAGGGGCATAGCGAGCAGATCGAGGGACGTGATTGTCCCCCTCTATTCGACATTGGTGAGGCCTCATCTGGAGTACTGTGTCCAGTTTTGGGCCCCACACTACAAGAAGAATGTGGATAAATTGGAGAGAGTCCAGCGAAGGGCAACAAAAATGATTAGGGGTCTGGAACACATGAGTTATGAGGAGAGGCTGAGGGAACTGGGATTGTTTAGTCTGCAGAAGAGAAGAATGAGGGGTGATTTGATAGCTGCTTTCAACTACCTGAGAGGTAGTTCCAGAGAGGATGGTTCTAGACTATTCTCAGTGGTGGAAGAGGACAGGACAAGGAGTAATGGTCTCAAGTTGCAGTGGGGGAGGTTTAGATTGGATATTAGGAAAAACTTTTTCACTAGGAGGGTGGTGAAACACTGGAATGCGTTGCCTAGGGAGGTGGTGGAATCTCCTTCCTTAGAAGTTTTTAAGGTCAGGCTTGACAAAGCCCTGGCTGGGATGATTTAATTGGGTATGGGTCCTGCTTTTGAGCAGGGGGTTGGACTAGATGACCTCCTGAGGTCCCTTCCAACCCTGATATTCTATGATTCTATGATTAACAGTTATTTTCTGGTCTGGGAAGTTAATCCCTTTCTGCAGCCGTTTAAACAGACCAGTGTTTCTGAAGACGCAAGCATCGTGAACCTTTCCCAGCCATCCCGCGTTGATGTTGGTGAAACGTCCCTTGTGATCCACCAGTGCTTGCAGCACCATTGAAAAGTACCCCTTGCAGTTTATGTATTGGCTGCCCTGGTGGTCCGGTCCCAAGATAGGGATATGCATTCCGTCTATAGCCCCACCACAGTTAGGGAATCCCATTGCAGCAAATCCATCTAGTATGACCTGCACATTTCCCAGAGTCACTACCTTTGATAGCAGCAGCAGCTCAATGATTACGGTGGCTACTTGCATCACAGCAACCCCCACAGTAGATTTGCCCACTCCAAATTGATTACCGACTGACCAGTAGCTGTCTGGTGTTGCAGGCTTCCATGGGGCTATTGCCACTCGCTTGTGAACTGTGAGGGCTGCTCTCATCTTGGTATTCTTGCACTTCAGGGCAGGGGAAAGCAAGTCACAAAGTTCCATGAAAGTGCCCTTACGCATGCAAAAGTTTCGGAGCCACTGGGAATCATCACAAACCTGCAACACTATGTGGTCCCACCACTCTGTGCTTGTTTCCCGGGCCCAGAATTGGCATTCCGCGTCATGAGCCTGCCCCAGTAACACCATGATCCCCAAATTGTTGGGGACCCGGTTTTAGAGAAATCTGTGTTCATGTCCTCATCACCGCACTGCTGTCGCCTCCTCGCCTGGTTTTTCAGGTGCTGGTTCTGCATAAACTGCACAATAATGTGCGAGGTGTTTACAATGGTCATAACTGCTGCGGTGAGCTGAACGGGCTCCATGCTTGCCATGCTATGGCGTCTGCTCAGGCAATCCAGGGAAAAGGGCGTGAAATGATTGTCTGCTATTGCTTTCATGGAGGGAGGGAGGGTTGACTGACGACATTTATCCATAACCACCCATGACAAATTTTTGGCCCCATCAGGAATTGGGAGCTCAGCCCAGAATTCCAATGGGCAGCGGGAACTGCAGAAACTGGGATGCTTGCCACAGTACTGTGGACGCACACCGCCGAATTAATATGCTTAGTGTGGACACATGCACTCGACTTGATACAATCTGTTCCCAAAAACCAACTTCTGTAAAATCGGAGTACTTTCATAGCGTAGATATGGCCAAAGGGAGTTAAAGCCACTCTTGTAGAGTTGATTTTGAGTTTAGCTCGTTGGGCTAATCTGATATAAAGCAGGCTTTGATGGAATTAATCTGAAACCAATCTGCTGTCCATTATAGGCACATATATGCAGTAATTGTCTCCTATAACAGAAATAGCTTGCATGCACTCATCCAAGAGTGTGGCAAAGAATTTCCCCAGAATGTGAATCACCTTTTCATGTCATGGGTGTTAATTAACTACTAAAACTAGTGTGTCCATAAACATGGTGTTGGGGCTGGTAGAGAGCTGAGTTGAAAAGAATGACTGGAGAAGGGGACAGGTGAACAGAATACATGGAGTGTGAGCAGTGTGGCTTTAGACTATGGTGGAAGATGACTCTGGGGTGGGGCAGGGCAGGGAGGGCTAGGTTGAAAATTCAGCACCTTTGAATGTGAGATGTAGGCTGCTAAATCACGCAGCCATGCTTAGTAATCTTTGGCTGTATTTCACTGGGGCTACATATACAGCAGGATTATCAGTCAACCATATATATGCAGTAGCCAATAATACTCATGACCTTTGCATCAGCACGTACAGGTGCCAACCTGGTGACCTGAGGAACAGCTAAAATTTATCCCTTAGAGAAATCTAATACAGATGAGCAAGTGATATTCTACTTAAAATGCTGTGATTTATATACACAAGCCACCTTCATATTCATGTGGGCCATAAAACCAATATAATATACAACAGCATTTTTAATTCAAGATGTTTCTCTTAAAAACCACTATTTAGTGTTCATCTTTAATGAAAATCTTCCTTATGGCCAACATAGAAC